CCCTCCCTCCGTCCCTCCCTCACTCCCTCACTCCCTCTTCCTCTCTCCCTCTCTCTCACCCTCCTCCTCCTCTCTCCCTCTCTCTCCTCTTTTCCAGCCTGCCTTCTGGCCGCGGGTCACGTCCACAAAGCTTTTAGAGTGTACGGCTGTCGCAAGGTGTGGGGCGGCGACGCCCGCCGGCCGCCGAGTGGCTTGTTGGGGCGCGGGCAAGGTGCACCTGATAGCCGCGCCACTCAGCGGCTCGCCACGCCAAATCGGGACGAAAGCACCAGTCGATCCGCGCCGACCCTATAGAGACACCCGCAGCCCAACCAGCAGCAGGGAGGAGTAACTTTCCACGAGCAACAACGCGCGGACGTTATGGGCCGCCCCAGCCAGGTGTGGGCACCGCAGGGTACCGCAGGGCACCGCGACCTCTGACCCGGTGCCGGCCGCAGCCAGAACCCCTCCGCGCGCGGACCACGGCGGCGAGGTGTGGCAAGGCGGCGAGGTGGGCGAGGGTCCCGGGGGGCCCCGGGCCCCTGGGCGGCCGCGTCCGAAGGGAGTCGGCTCCCTCTCGGCCACACCGGCGTGCACAGTGCACCGCACACCCCCAGCGGCCACCCCGGACGCGGCCCGGTTGATTCGCTTCATTATACATGCGTTGGTCGCCCTCGCTCCTCCGCCCGGCCCGGGCCCGCCGCCGGTCACCGCGCCCCGGCTTCCGCCGCCACCAACCTCATTCCATTTTTCGAATTAAAAACAAACCCGGCGCGGTCGCGGTGCCTAGAAGCAGGGGCCGAAGCTAAGCCGAACGCGGCGTAGAACACCGCGGCGAGCAACGTTCCCCGCCGTTCCCTAACGTTCCCCGCCGTTGCGGTGCAGACGTCCTCGCCCGGGCGGGGCGGGACGGGGCGCACCGCGCGCCCAGTCGTCTTTTATTTGGTGCGGGAGAGGTTTATTCGAAGGGCGTTATTTTACGGGCAAAAGGGAGTGAGTGAGTGATGCTCGGAAACGATTCGCGGAGCCCAGGCCCCGCTCGGCCCGTCGGCAATTCACTCTCGCACCAGCACTCTGCAGCAAGCAAGAGGCACCTCTTCTCCTCAAACAGGCGCCGTTTTCAAACAACGGATTTAGGATTCGTAAGCCTCACTTTCGAAAACAAGTTTTAACGCGGCGGGATTTTACTGCATAAATTTGTCAAAAGGCGCGTAGACCTTAAGATTTTTGCGCTTCGAGTCGCAAACTTAAGCAGGCTCCGCTTGCCCGACTGCGGCAGTGCGCTGCGCAGTCTGCTGCAGCAAAACCAAAAAGCTTTCGCTTGAGGGGCTTGAGCTGTTATGACCCACAATTACGGCGTAAAACGCCCCGACACACTTGCTTTTATTCGCTCCAATTCTAACGCGAAATATTGGTTTTCGATCTCCGACAACTATGTATACTGTTGCAGTTGCGCGTACGACATTGTGAAGGCCCCGGCTCGGACCCTGCAGTTAGGTTACCGGGAGGGTGGCTCAGACAGTTATTAAGTCAAACGACGTGTGCAATGTGCAGCAGCAGGGCCGATGTGGGGCGTAGAGCCCAGGGAGCATTATCGTAAAATTCCCGTTCGAGTGCAGCGCCAAATTGTTGGGCCCCAACCATGAACAGTTCGAGGCCGCCGACGTGGAATCAGGGAGCGCGTTTCAACGGGGTGGGCAAAGCAGGGGCCGGCGTCACCCGAAGGCCCGAAGCCTACAACTGTGTGCTGCCGACGACTCACCTAACATCTTGCTGAGGTCGGCGTTGTGCAGGTCCGGGTTCTCGTCGGCCAGCTTCTTCCGCTCCACCTTGGCCCACACCATGAAGGCGTTCATGGGCCGACGGATGCGCTGCTCCTTGAGCGTCTTGCTGGAGAGCTGCGGGTGCTGCGGCAGCTGCTGCAGCGAGTGCGGCTGGTACATCCAGTGCAGGTCCGGGCCGGGCAGCAGCTGGGCGGCCATGCCCAGGTCGCCGTCGAGCGGCGAGTCCATGCCGCCGCCGCCGTACACGGACAGGCCGCCGGACAGGCCGCCCCCCAGCGACCCGCTCATGCCCATGTCGTCCATCATCCTGCAGGAGGGGCAGAAAAACTGAGGTTAGACTTCAAGTGCGACAGAACATATGCACCTCGGCTCTCGAAAACATCCATGCACCATGGCACTGGTGGTACATCAGAAGTACAGAAGAGATGCACAGACCGCGTGTACCGTGTGTCAGGGCTACAACACTGCAGTGTGCGGGTTTGCCCAGTGGCTCCACCCGTGTTGCCTCTTTAGTAGGTCGTTGGGTCTTTACTTTTTCTGCGAGAATCATCGTTTTTGCTCTGAATGCCGATTCGAACCCGAGTCTCGGTGGCACCCATAGCTAGGCCTCGGCGGCCGACGGCCTCCACGACGGTTCCCGGGCCGCGCAGCACCAGCAGCAGCGCCTCCCCGGCGGCGTCCGCGGCCCAAATCACCACCGTCTGCATCGCACCGGAGGAGGGCGTGCGAAAGGCGTGGGGCTTACGGCGTGCACCGCGGACAGACAGAGAGAGAGAAATGAGCGGCGGCGAATCTTCGGGACGCAGCTCCGCTACTCTGGCGTGGCGTGGCTCGGCGTGGCGAATGCCTCAGTAAACGCGTGGCCTCTGCCCTCGCGCGAGTCCGACCAGCCGAGCCGAGGGGTGGGCGCCCGCAGTTCGCTCCAAAGGGGGTTACTAAAACAAACGCGAAGCGCTATGGAAATTCTCGACGACGACGCCGCCGCATCCACGAACGGCACGAAATAAAGAGAGAGTCCCTTTCTAACATAATTTTACCAGAAATCGCGGCAGAGTCTAGCCACTTTCCCAAGCAAATTCACACAACTCGCGTAGCGTGTCGTAGTAAATTTGAGGCGAGTATTTACGACCGGTGCGCAGGCACCTGCGGGTACCATGAGGTACCTCTGCCGTCCCTATCCGTCGGATGCCTCCCTGACGGCTAGGGCAAGCCGGGGGCGGGGCGGGGCGGGGCGGGGCGGGGCGGGGCGTTCAGACACCGCCGCGGCCGCCACGCCTCTCCCGCCGACAGACGTCTGCAACATTCTCCAAAGTAATGTGGTGTCGGCGGTGTGCCGTGCACCCCAGCTCAGCTACGAGAATCATCATTTTCGAAACGGTCACGCGCGCCATGAAGAAAGACTCCAGAGACTGCTTGAACTCTTCTTTCGCAGTGCGAACGGATCTGCCGAGGTCGCGGCTCACGTGGAATCAGAAGGGTCGCGACCTCGCGACAGCACTCTGCCGGCGTTGTTGATCACCACACCTCGAAATGAAGTGAGAACGTGTGCTGTATGGATGTCCACAATCTTCATTTTCTTCATAAAAGTTTAGAGAAACGCACGTTCTGAAGGAAAAGACGAGAGGACTCCATAAAACGTGTTAGCCAGCGCCTTAGAGAACATCCAGAAAGTAGGTCCGTCATTTGCCGGTACGACACCGCCAAATTCAGCCAATTCAAGGTGCCATGGCGCCTGGTAGGTAGGCCACACCTTTCCTACAATGCACACATGTACTGCGGGGTGGCCTACTCTGAGACTCGCAGGCGCCTGGCTTGCGTAGCTTGCCGGAATGAATTTGAGATAAACGCGAAACAAACTTTCCGGGCGATCTTCTATTTTTTGGTGCATCAATTTGCTAAAACTGTTGCCCCGACAACGCCCCTGGGCCTGTGCCGTGCCGGGCCCGGGTCGGGGTCGGGCCCCGCCGAGGATCTCTTATCGCCCTGCAGCCCGCCGGGCCGGCCCCGCCCCGCGCTGCAGCCTGGCGCAGCCCCGCGGCAGGTGAACAACCCGATATCGGGCTGCCGACGCTCTCCTTCGCCGCGAAGGTCGCACGCCGTACAGTCCGCTGCAGTCGACAGTCGACCCGACGACTTGTTTGGCAATGACGTAAGTCAGAGCACATCAGGCACATCCACAACCTCCTCGGCAACCTTTGGAGCCGCGCTTGGAGCACCTGCCCGTCCTGTGAGATGTGGCCTACCCTATACGATCGGCAGGCGTCCAGCCAAGCCAAGCAAGTTTCATCGTGTGAGCGCTGTCAAGTCGGCATCTTGGTGCGGACTATCATCACCCTGGAGGCCTCTGTCTCATACTCGATGAGATTTGCTTATGTTTGACTAAGTGTACACTCTGTCAATTTGCAATGTTTTACAATGACAATTGTAGATCAAATAAAACCACTCTCCATTTAGAACGTCTGATCGTCAGATATTTTAGGACTAGATGTGCGTCAGGGTTTACTATGTCCTCCACTTTCCAAGCGTTCGAAAGTTGGAAGAAAACGAACGAAGATTAAATTCCAGCAAGTACAGAGGTCAGAATTTGGCATTCAAGACATATACCAAAGGCGACCGCGGCATTTACAGCGTATTTTGCACAGGACCATGAGACGATGGGCGAACCCGTCTGCACACAGGGCACGGCACGGTGCGACACAGTGACCATCCTGTAAAGAAAGGAGCGAACGGGGAAGGGAGGGACAGAGGGGCGACGGAGAGACGTTGCGAGTGAGCTAGTAAGTTAGCGATTGAGAGAGTGCGGCAGAGTGAGTGAGAGAGAACTGCGCGCAGAAACAAGAGAAGCAGCCAGCACAGAGGCCCCCGGTCAGCGTGGGCGTGCCCGGGCGTGCCGCTCGCGATAAGGGAGATACGGAGCTACTGCCCCCCCCCCCTCTCCCC